CGACGCTCCACATCCTGGTTACCGGTGGTGATGGTGTAGTAGTTCACGTACTCCGCGCGATTGCTGTTGAACGTGTAGATGTTCTGCGCGGGGAAGCCCTTGTTGTACCACTTGTTGCACAGCTGATTGTCCCACAGATTCGCACCCAATTCATCCCAATAATCCTCCAGATGATCTCCCGACACCGATCCATCGAAGGTACGGTGCGAGTTGCCGTACACCAGATTCACGAACGCGTTGAACGGATCCACGATGGGCGCGTGATCAGCAGGGAAATGAATCTCCACAGCCAGCACAGCCGATCCGTCGAGCAAGTGGCGATTCGCAAAAGCACGATGATAGTACGCCTCCTCCTCCTCTGCTTCCACGGGAGTGGTGGCCGAAGCGTCAGCAGGCAGGTTGTGGCGATAGATTTCTTGTCCATTCACGTACATGGCGATACCGTAGTTTGTGTTCACAGCCAGCTCGAAGGAAGCAAAGCCCGCCAAATCACCGAATGAAACGGTCTTGCGGTAGTAGCGTGTGATAACGTCCGTGTTGGCGACAGGGAAGTAGGAACCTGAGGACCAACCAACATCATCAAAGTCTTGCGTGTTCCAATTCTCAGCATAGGTGCTCGAGTACTTCCAGGATGAACCCTTCTCCATAACCGAATGGGGCTGAAACTTGAACTCGCGGCGTGAATACTTATCAAGGGTGTAACGGCCAATCATGATACCACCTTCCTGCGAGATGGTCATGTAGGAGTCACGGGTCCAATAGTTTTCGCCACTAGACATTAATCACGAGTCGTGTTTCGTACGCATCCAAAAGAACCAAGGTGTGAAGAGCCTTATTCAAGCAAACCTCATAATTTTGTTGAGTATTTGCCAAGTCGAGGCCATTCTTCTCGTACATCAGAGTACCCGTTTTGGGCTCTCCTTCCCAAATCTGGAAGGTTTCCTCAAACGCATTTCCCTTGAAGATACGATTGATGTAAATAGGGACTTTTCTGGTCTCGCATTCAATGGCAAACGAAACTACATATGACCATTCCCATGGGATTGTTACATGCAAGCAGCAATAATAGAATATATACTCCTTTCATAAAGGATAGAATGGTATTTTCACAAAAAACTGAAAATAGTCCATCAAAGCCACAATATAATACAATAATAATCACAACGGAGTGTACACTATTTGAATTAGCATATGAAAGATACATTTATTTCCTTATTATTACACCACTGGTCTTCTACGTAATGCTGGCTTTAGCAACTATTATTCATTTCCTGTGGAATGTTTTCAATTTGTAGGAAATTACTCATAGTCTTGGCCATAATTCATTATTGTGTTCATGGATAGTAAACCAAGTTGTAAAAACGAGTATCCATAGTGTGATATTATATTTCTGCAACGAACCTACTTTCTTTTTCGAGATTATTAACACTTTTCAATAAACTGCTGTCTATTTCATCCAACACTGATAATTGGGAATTTATTAATTTCACACAAGAAGATATTATAGTTAAATCCATTTTAAATACAATCAAAAATGGTGAAAATAACGGATGGCCAATCAGTGGTAATCTTAAGGATATTATAGAAACTATTTTCGAAACGGAAAGGAAAAAAGGGGTAAAAAGATGTGGATATGCTGTAGTATCAGTGTTGGAATGATGCATAAACATGGTTAGCTAAATCCTTGTTTGACAACCCGATTCCATAATGATATAACAAAAAAGAGATAATCATGTTAGATGATAATACCCATTTATACCTATGAGCTGTTCGAATTAACAGTGAACTGTGATTGTAATTTACTGTTGAACTCTATCTTTCAGGAATATCTGTAAACATTGCATGAAACTCATCTGATTCCTCACTGTTTTATCGTTGAAATAGAAGGTCAGCATTTTATTTCTAAATACTTTTATAGATTCTATCTGCCAAATTAGTCAATGGATTGATGTGTTTGCTACTCATTACAATTAATAACTGCTCTATATGTTCTGCCTTTCTATCTGCATCATCATTCATTGTACTAAATATAGATTATTTATATTATGATAAAGACCATCCATTGAGAATCAATTCATTTAGCCGATTGACATATAGAAATGATGAATTTTCGTTCTATATTCTATAGCAATTTCCTATTTTGAAAATCAAGCAATTCCTATCGTATGTGCTTCTGTACTTTCGATTAATTAAAAAATAGAATAATGCGGTTAGAATATCAACTATCTATAAACGAATAAAGCTATTACGAACTTCATGAAGCAATCATTTCGAAGTAAAAGTGTGAAGCTTATGAAAAAGCGAAATATAAAATAATCAAAGCTCCATGTACGTAAAATTATGCCAAAATTAAATGGATATATGGAAATGTAATGAAATTAAGAAAATCAGAATAGGTCAGACCCGGTGAGAATCTAATTTCTTCTTTCCAGTTTATAATACACCAGCAATTCAGATCCATACATAATAATATTAATAATGGGTTCAATCGAAAAGAAGAAACGAAGTGCAATTTGAAACGCCTGGTCGTTTCATACACTGTTTATTATCTTTATGCAAAACATTGTTGATTTTGTCAATTCTGTTATTAGTAACTATCATATTGATAGTTCCATTATTCAAAATGTGCAGGGATGCTTGGGTAAAGAAATGAAACCAAATGGCTGGATTTCACTCATATTGAGTAATAGAGAATGTGTAGTATTGCAATTCAACAATGGAGTATTCATGAATCAAGGATTTGTGCTCAATGAGCAGAAAGTGTTGAAAGTGTTTGGAAATCATCAAATTGGTGCTATTTCATATAATGAACAACAATCCATAGAAGTAGAAGGAATCGTGGATTTGGATCATGGAAGTCGATTTGAAGGATTGATATTGGCAAAAAACAAGTTTGGAATTCCATTTGGATATGGTGAAATGCATGATGATGATGATGGATTCTTGTTGTACAAGGGCATAATGATCAATTGGAAACGATTTGGATATGGAACGAGTTATCATAATAATGGTTTGATTGAATATGAAGGATATTGGTGTGATGATAATCGATTTGGAAGTGGAAAAGTGTATGATCGATATGGTAAATTAGTGAATGAATGTGAATGGTATAATGGAATTGAATGTGATATAGATGAAAAATATGAAGGAGATGGAAGCAAGCCAATGAATATGGGAATGAAACATTTGAAACTGACTACAAATGTGTATTGGTTGATTGGGATGTTTCATTGTTGTACAATTTGGAATCAATCGAAATCGGCGATGAATGTTTTGAATCAGTGCAAACATTCATAATCGATGGATTGAATGGATTGAAAACTATCAAAATTGGAAACTATTCATTTACCCAAGAGAAGAATTGGTTTGGAAATGATAAATCGAAATCATTCCACATATTGAATTGTGAATCATTGGAATCCATTCAAATAGGTGAATATAGTTTTAATGATTATGCTGGCGACTTTGAATTGAAGAATCTACCACAATTACAATCCATTCGAATAGGAACAATTGGCAATTGGTCATACAATTTCTATTACAGTTCATTTGTGATTCGAGGTATTGATATGATATTGAATATTTGAATGATGCATAGATCTTCCTAATTTACAATCCATCATATTAGGTGATTTTTCATTCGATGCTTCTTTAACAACAATAATTGAAAGTATTGAATGAATTGGATTGAAATGATTGATGTAGATCTTCCATCATTACAATCCATTCAACTCGGCTGTTGTGCACTTGATGGTAGAGATGATGATGAGTCTTGTTCTTTGATAATGCGAAGTATCACTAAAATAAAATTAAAATAATTTGCCTTGTAGATCTTCCAAATCTAACATCCATTATTTCCAAAGAATGGAGTTTCTGTGATCTTCGTGTAGTGACATTGGAAAGTATTTTTGGATTTTGACTACTGATAGAATCTAGATATTCCAAATCTGCAAGATGTCTGTCTACCCGGGGATTGGAAATGTTATTCATTCAAGTATGTTCGATCGAAATCGATTTCAAGTATTGCTTGCTTGCTTGAGTTGATTTGATTCATAGATGTTTCTTCGATTCTCGCTGATCAAGTTCCCTAAATCATGTAATGGTGATTTTCGTACTGGATCTACAGCCATCATTTAATTCCATTGGATTAAACAGATATGGTATATTAATTCTTGTTTTGTTCCAAACCCTTTGCCGACATTCTTTGGCTATTGATTCAGGAGTCAATCATCGATTGACTCTCTTCTATCATCGCAATTCAGATAGGCTTATTTATCTTGTTCCAATCCTTAATATAACCATTTTTTTAATGAAAACAAAGAGTTATTGAGAAATGGTAAATCTAAATCTAGATAATATAGAATAGTTCAGTGTTCAATAGTCGAATATGATAACTCACCAAAATATTAACGATTGAATAAAGACGATCGAGTTATTGAGCTGGATTGTACTCAATAGTTTATTATATGTATATTTCATGAGTGCTGAAATATGAGTGGAATTGTTTCTGAATGTATTTCGCTGTTTCGATTTTGCGTCGAAAAAAGAGATTTGTTTTATATTTTATCAATTGTTTTGTTATTACAAAAATGATTATGGAGTTGAGATACAATTCTCTCTGTATCTATTTCCAATAAATTATGAACAACACGATAAGCATACAGATAGATAGAATAGCGTGAAATCAATTGACTATTATTACAAAAAGAAGATCACTTGTCAACAGGATACACAAATAGAGTATAATGGAATCATAACGAAATGATCCTGATTTACAATTTATCATATAAATATTCTACATATCTGTGACTGCAGCTTTTTATTGATAAAAAGCCTCTTTTTTGTGCTATGGTTTTTGCAATAATTCAGCACGATTCATTTCAATGGGCGTGTATCCTCTCCAATAAAAGATTATTTCAATCAAACAATAAAACTCTCAAATATCTCACTAATCACGTCATGAATTCGTTTCATCTGGGTTACTTCCATGTCACCCTATTTTACCATCTCTCCGAAACCCTTACGTAATGATCTTTTATCGAAGATCCCTCTATCGCCGGGACAATACACTGCTGAAAACCGAGCGATGCTGCCGTTTTCAATCTGCTCTCGAGCTGCTGGACGGGCCGAAGTTCTCCTGTAAGTCCAATCTCTCCAATGAAGCAAGTAGATGCCAAAATCGGCTCTTTCTTCAGAGAACTTAGCAGACTCATCACCACTGGCAAGTCGGATGACGAGTCAAACACTTGGATTCCTCCCACTGCATTGATAAACACATCGTATTGGCCGACTGCAATTCGCTCTTTCGATTTCAACACAGATAACAATAGTTGCAATCGGTCGAACGAGACGCCAATGCATCGACTTTGGGGAGGTCGAAGCTGTGAATTGTATTTGCTGAGCAGTGATTGAAACTATTTTCTATCAAGTACTGGTGATCTCTACCTCTATCGGCAATGCTCGTGTTCCATTCAAAATCATTCCCACGGAGCAACCCTCCTCAAGCATTGTGTGGTTTTTCGATGGTTTTGTGGTCAAAAATGACGAATACAAATCCGTTTTCTATTTCCTTATTTCAAATCTCCCTCGTCTCTACTTCAATCATTCCATTCTCTTTCATTTCAAACAAACCAAGCTCATGACTGGGACCAAATCGGTTCTTCACGCTTCGTATGATTCGAGTGTGTGTCCCGGAATCTCCTTCCAAATACAACACCGTGTCTACTAAGTGTTCCAATGTTCGGGGACCCGCCAAATCGCCTGTTTTTGTTACATGTCCTGTCAGAAACACTGAAATATTCAGAGTTTTTGCGAGTTCTTGAAGACGCGATGCACAGGAACGGACCTGAGGAATCGATCCGGCGGCAGTGGGAACTCCTTGGAGCTCGACTGTCTGGATGGAATCGATGACCAAAGCAGAGAAGTCTGATGGCTGCAAATCATTTAATGGAGTTGGAAACAACGTGCTGGTACACATAGTGGAGAACAGAATCCAAATCTGTTTCGTGGAGGAGGGAAAGACTTTCTGAGTCAATTCCCAGACGGTCACAACGGAGTTTCACTTGGTCTTCGGTCTCTTCTCCAGAAACATAGAGAACGCTCGCCTTCCTTGAGGCACAAATGTCCGAAGCCATTTGCAAAAGCAACGTGCTCTTTCCAATGCCGGGTTCTCCACCAATTAAAACAAGGGATCCAGGTACCACACCGCCCCCAAGAACGCGATTGAGTTCGTTCCCTCGGAGAACAATGCGGGAGTGTGCGACAGGTTTAATCTCCCTAATTTTCGAAGGCTTTACGAGTTTGGTTGCTGGATGGAACGTGTTCCCCGCATTTTCTGTTTTGCACACCTTTTGTATTGAGTTCCAAGAATGACAGGAGGAGCACTGCCCCTGCCACTTCGAATACTCCCTGCCACAAGTTGAACACACATAGGCAGACTGCACTGCTGTTGCAAAAATCCGGTGTGGCTGAAATGGATGACAATAGCCAAGAAAACCACTTATAGGCCGAAAAGAGTATCCAGCTAGTTTATTAAGGAAACGATAATAGTTAGGTAGTCTACACTCTCAATACAGTAAAAAGCATCAACAAAGAATACATGTGTTTCGAACACCTTTCATTAATGAGAAGAAACACCAATAATGCTCACCCTTGCCTGAATTACTGTTCATTGGCACTCTAATTCTGCGGGATGTGTTTTTGTACGTTGTGAACACTTCACAATTTACTTCCAGTTTTAGTTGTTTTTGTCAATAATGGGTCTCCTACCGAAATGGATTCTAGCTGCATTTATATTTTTATTCTATGTAAAGACAGTAAACCTGCATTTGTTTTTGTGAGCTTTTCTGGTTTTTCTTGACCGTCTAGCAATAAGCAGGTCTACTCTAAAGATTTGGTGTTTTCTTTTCGTCGCTTCGGCCAAATTGTGAAAATCAGTAAGAGGTTTGAGTTTTGTTCAAGAATAGATACAAATAAACTAGATGAACAAGGGATACGCCAAATCAGCGAAGACTCAACTTTAGAAGAAGAGTCTGCTGTTTTGGCTGTAGCGAACCGAAATTTTACAAAAAATGAGTCAGAATCGGAGAAGGATGATTTATCGAGTGAATTATCTGCGGGGAATGTTCGAAAGGTACTTGATGATGTTGTACCTTCAATTTCATCATCATTTGCTTCCTCCCCGCTGACTTCTCTCAGGAGTTCTTCGCGTGCCGAAGAAGAAAAAGAAGAAGTCGAAGCACCCAAGGAGATTGTCCTTCACAAGGTGTGGGCAAGTAAACGAAGCCAAAAAGCGAGTCCTTCGCCGCTTGTCAGTTCGGAGCCGTCCCTTCCCACTCTCCAGCCCGTGCTATTCGCCCCCAAATCCTCCCTTCTTGGCGGCCATTCTGCCTCTCCAACCGCTCCTGAGTTTTTCAAATCGTCCGATGAATCATCCAACCAAATCGAATCTTCTTCTCCTTCTCCTTCTTCTTCTCCTTCTTCTTCTCCTTCTCCTTCTTCTCCTTCTCCATCGGAATCCTCCGTTTTTTCTCCTTCAGAGTCTTCAGTCTTTCCTCAAGATTCCCTTCCTCCCACCACTTCTCTCCCCGTCGACAACATCCACGACGACAAGCCTCCCCGAAGCCAGCCCATTACGCCGCTCTCCATCGTTCTCAGCGACGCCACGTGCTCGCTTCCCCTCGTCGCCACCTCCAAAAAGCTCTTTTATGACCACCATCCCAGCTATTCCTTCGCTTCTGACGACCAATGCGACGCGCGAAACCGTCAAATCGACGCCGATCTGCGAGCCAGCGAGCAGGAGGCGCGGAATTCCCGCGATTATGAGACGATGCGGAACCAAACGCTGCGATTGGACGGCGTGTTTCCCGCGGATCACGTGTCTCCGTACTACACGATCGTGCGATTCAACGAGATTCACAGCCGCGAGAGGCGTGTGGTGTCGATGCTGTCTTCGCGAATGCACCGCGATTCGTGCTTCCGTTCGGTGACGGAGAAATACAATTCCGTGGCGTCGGTGCTGAGCTTTAAAGAGACGGAATGGCTGCGAACCATGCGAGCAAAAATCCACAATCAGACCGCCACGCAGCGCGAAATCATCGAGTATAAGAAGAAACAGAACGAATTGGTCGTGCGGCGAGCGCAGCATCACTCCGACTTCCACAACGTGAAATACTATTCCGATAAGTCGATTTATTGCGACGGCTGCATGCTGCCGGGGAACAAAAAAACCGTGGTGAAAAAGGATACGTTCAAAGACGGGTTGCAGATTCGGAAATTCGTCGGAGATAAAGAAGTTCCCTATTCCGATGCGGGTTTCCACGTTTCCACGAGGGTGATGAGTAGAGTGGTATCCGTCGGAGTCGCAGAAGCCGGATGTGACAGCGATCGCGACGGCATTCGGGTACAATCGTCTGTTTTTGTTCCGTCAGTTTATGTACCGCTATCATGGGTATGTTCTCTTGGCTTGTTTGTTTGTGAATTGAATGAATTGAATGAATTGAATGAATTGAATGAATTGAATGAATTGAATGAATTGAATGAATTGAATGAATTGAATGAATTGAATGAATTGAATGAATTGAATGAATTGAATGAATTGAATGAATTGAATGAATTGAATGAATTGAATGAATTGAATGAATTGAATGAATTGAATGAATTGAATGAATTGAATGAATTGAATGAATGAATGAACGAACCTGTTTGCTAATCGCTTTGTAGTCCGATCGTGCTGGTCATCCACTGCACGCCGCACTACGAGCTCTTCATTCTGCGATATCTCGCTTCTCATCACATTCCCGATCGTGTCACCATCCTCCTCTATCTCGTGAACAAATCCCATCCCTTCTACTCCGTCTTCCCCATCAACCATCTCCGAAACCTCGCCATTCGAAACATCCGAACCACGCATTTCCTCATTCTCGATATGGATCTTCGCGTCTCCCGTTTGTTTTTTCCGCTTTTTTCTCACGTCCAGTCAACACGTACGAAGAAGTCATGAGTCTACCCCAATTTCTCTATCGGAGCAACCGATCCGCGGTGATTCTGCCCGTGTTTTTCTACAAGAACAGTCAGGTTCTGGAACACTGTTCCACGATCGAGAGCTGCGCGTATTTGTGGGTTTTTCTGGAAGAGGGTGAGAGATAGCTCGAATTCGATCGAGCCTTCGAACAAAGCAGAGCTCATCGAATGCGTGAGTCGTTTTATCTGCTACTCGAATAAGAATTATCTGCGAACACATGTAAGACATTGATGATGATGATGATGATTAACTCGTACAGATGTATCTCATGCCAGAATGGTATTCTGCTCCTGCACATTCTCATGTATCGCGTATTCGCTGCTTCCTCACCAATTTCATGGAGCCGTCGATTTTTGGAATTCCACTAATTCGAAGATATATGATGGTGCGTTATTCGCGTGATATTCCACTGTTTCATGAGGAATTCGTGGACTATGGATACAACAAGGTGCAGTATTTCGAGCATCTTCGTCAGGCGGGGTTCCAGTTTTACATTTTAAACCATGCATTTGCGATGGACTTCCCTAAAAACATCCAAATTGGTTGAGCGTAGTTCGGGGTTCCGAAAGAAGTATTTACACGCGTTACACAATGTGAACGAAATGAAGAAAGTGTATAATAGGCTTCAAGAGAGGCTGGATGAGGACTACAAGGATGTAGAGAATTTTCCCGTGTGCTTTAGAAGGCAACAGATTTATTATGAAGAGTTGATTGAATAACTGGACGTGTTTGTTGGAATCGAAATGCGTGGAGGATCGGCATTATTCCGTTTTTGACACTTTTGTGGATGATAGAATGCAGTGGGTTTACAATCATAATCATGCTCAACCAATTTGGATGTTTTTAGGGAATAAAATGAAAAAGTCCTTGTTTTTTGGCAACCTCACAAACTACAGAAAAAGCCATTGCTTTTGCTCGATTGAACTCTCATTCTTTTAGTTAGCTTGGTACCTATTAATTTACGATTATGGGAGATCGAGTAAAGTCATTGAATCCTCTTAGTAATACAAAACGAAGGTTTGCCATTCCGAAAAGCAGGACTTAGTGTGTAGATTCCGTTATCTAAATTTCGAGGAGCGAATAAGTACTGTTACGGATGTTGTCCAACTCGCAACATTTAGTTATAGCGGAAGAGCAAAACAAGTAGTTTTGTTTGTGAAATGCCTAATTGTCTAGATTGCGGATAACTCGACGCACTTCCAGGAAGAACTGACAGCCTATAGAAACCAGTTTGATATTTGTGATGATTTTGTCTTCTTCTTCAACGAGGTGTGCGATCTGGTGAAGAGTCCCGAGATGCTACTTCACAATCTACCGAAAGTCATCGATATCATCGTCTACCACATCTCAATCCCCGATTCTCAAGCAATCGACTCTATTTTGAAACTCGTCTCTGTACTCTCTCGCGACATGCGGTTGCTTGCTCTCTCCTCTTCTCTGATTCATAGCGGCGAATTGATCGTTTACTACGACAAGCTCCTCCCCACGCTGCTCTCTCTCATGGACCCGCAAGAGCCCGAGAAAACATCCAACGTGTTCCAAACGCTGCTCATGATGTTCCGAAACCTCAACGGCGACGACATTCGCGACCACATTTCGATCATTCGCAAGTACTACGGCCCTCTCTTCGGCCACAAAACCCCGTTCGTTCGCCAGTTCGCGTGCGAATCCTACTGCTACCTGCTCCGTCACATGAGTTCCGCGAAGAAAGTCGAGATCAAAAGTGCGTCGAGCGTCTCCAAACTCGCTCGCGAGCAAGGGAACGAACAAATCAAAGAGCTTCTCGTCATTCTGAAGGCAGTGTCTCGCAAGGAATCGATTTCGGAGCCCATGGTCCTCGGAATCTCCTCGCTGCTGTTCGAATCGATTCGAGGCGTCGGCGGCCAGGCGCGTCGCAATGGAATCGACATTTACAAAGCGTTGATCGACGTGCTGGTGGGGAAGAAGCCGCTGAATAAAACCACTTCGAAGCCTGCGCAGAGCTTTGTGGACATCATGTACGAACTCCAGTACTGCCTGGCTGAGTGCGTTTTTTGATTATGGGTTGAGAGTAGGGCCATCGATCCGCAGAAAAGCGGTCCGTTCCTAGCGGCGATTCGCGACGGACTGGATCGACTGAATCAGGGAAACGAGGAACCCTTCATCGATCTGCTGACCATCTGGGTGCAGTTCAAATCGGGGATCCACGTGAAACACAATCCGGACTTCTTCGAATTCGTGCAGAACGCGATTCCGCTTCTGCTCAATCGCTTGGATCCTTCCGCGGATCGCTCGCGTGTTTCGCTCATTTCGCTGCTCCATTCGCTCTGGATCCACACCGAAAAGCAGGGAAATTCCAACGTGATGACGCAGAACCGACTCATGCGAAACTTCACGTCCTGTCTGCAATCCTCCAAACCCTCCCTTTTCTTCGTTCCCCGCGCTTTTTTTAGAATGAGTCGTAGATTCAGCAGCTGATCGAATGGGTTCCGCAGATGACGCAGTGCGTTCTCCGCTCGGTTATGCAGGAGAAACTCATTCAGATGCTCCTCCAAGCCATTTCCGCGGTTCTTCTCGCCATCCCGGCGGACTTCCCGCGGTTCTCGTTGGGGTGGGTTCTGCTGAACGACACGCTGGATGAGATTTTGGCGGCAGATTGCGCGGTTCCTGCTTCGCTGAGCGAGTCAAAAGCGGTCATTTCGCTGCTTCTGCGTCGTTTGAGCGCGGCGTCGCTGATCGAATTGGCGCTCATTCTGCACGCAGTGGAGGCGTTTCAGGTGGAGGGCGACGCAGAACTGGGCGGGGAGGCGAAGCAGAATTTGGCGGGTTTTTTGGAGTGGCGACTGGAGGAATGTGTGTCGAAGTGCGAAGCGAACGCGGGGAAATCGGAGCGACAGCAGATGATTTTGGGTTGGATGCGGAGAGGAGGAGTGAATTGCAGGGGAGAACGAAGTGCTGGCGATGGCCGAAGTCCTGACCAATCTGTTTCGAATCGGGTCGCAGCGATTGGTCGAGCGGTTCCCCGACGTGCTTCGCTGTTTCCACTTCTACCCTCTTTTGCTCTCCACGATTTCTCGTCGGTCCGATAGAAGGAACTGACCGAATAGATCATTACGAATCGCTCCCTGCTTCGCTTCGGTCCGAAGCCGCCTTTTCTTCGCTCGTTCAAAACTACTCTTCCTTCTTCATGCATCCAAGCCACGTGATTCGTCTCTCCTGGCTCCGCATTCTTCAATCCTGCTCCCAGCCCGAAGTACTTTCCTCCCTTCTCCCTCGCTTATTCGCGTAGTACCTTCTCCCCGCGGAAACCACCGACGTTCCCGCCTACGTGGGCGTTTCCACGACCATTTCGCTGCTGTTCGAGATGGAGTCGCTGCCGATGGCGCTGGCCTCGGACGGTCCGCGTGTTTCGCTGCTCCAGCAGTGCGTCACGCCGCTCCGCCTGGGGCTGCTGCCGCCGTCGCTGCGCGACTGCGTGCTCTGCGAGCTGCTGGGAAGCTTCCACATGAAGTGGTCGCCGTTCTGGAAGCAGCTGCGCGCTGTGATCGAGTCCATCGCGGCGGTGGACGCCGAGGCGTGCTGGCGGTGGGTGGAGCGTGCAGCGCTGTTTGTGAGCGGGTACTGCGATGTGGCGGGCATTCCCTATGAACGAAGCATGGATTTGGAGGCAATGGACGATGAACAACAGCAACAAGGAGAAGGAGAAAAAGAAGAAGAACGGTTTGTGAGTCGTCGCGCCATGGCGGAGCGGTACGGTGTATGGAGGACGCCGCCGTCGGAGAAGAAAGATCCGGTGGACGACATCGCGTTTGAGTGAGAAACGAGAAGGAGGAATGAACGCTAGTGCCGCCGATCCGTCGTTTGTGTGGCAGTCCGTGTTTATGACGCTGGCCTCGCTGGCGCCGCGCTTCTTGGCGCATCAGGAAGCCATCGTGAATCTGTTTTTGCTCTTCCTGCGCGACCATTACTTCGTGAAACGCTCCGACGATCCGTTTACCCGCGTTTATGAAGGCAACGCGCTCATCCGAACCCCCGACTTCTACTGCATCGACGAGGCCGTGTCCGTTTCGGAGTGTAACGCCCGGCTCATCACGTTCCTGCGTCTGTTCCAAGGCCTGGGGATGTCCGTCCGCTCGCTCTACGCGCATTCCGTGCTGCGCAGCGTCTTCTACGCGCTGCTGCTCCGCCCCGAGAGCGAAATCCAGAAGCTTGCCGTCGAGATTCTCTGCAATGACCTCCCCGAAACGCTGGAGATCCCCGCGGGAGAGGAGGAGGCGACAAAGACGAAGGGGAAGGCGAAGAAAAACCCGCTGGACGCGTACCGCGAGCAGCTGATCGCGCTGTGCGAAGACCGGACGTTCCGCGAGCGGATTACGACGTTCTTCATCGCGCCGGAGGAAGGCATGGTGCAGAAGGACGATCGCGCGCAGTTCATTCCGATCGTTTCGCGGTTATTGTACGGACGATTGGTGTCGCGGCAGGCGGTGTCGAAGTCGAGTTTCGCGTCGAGACAGTCGGCGGTGCTGTTTTATCTGTCGACGATCCCGTCGGAAGAGTTGAATGAGTTCGTGTCGGTCACGACGGCGAGCTTTTATCAGGGCGATTTGACGCCGCATCCGCGGAATGCGGAGGATGTGGACGCGTTGGTGGAGGTGATTCGGACGCAGGCGCCGTCGTTGAGGAGAATGAAGGGATTGCTGACGCTGCTGTATGAGATAATCAGACATTTGGGAATGAAGCTGGCTCCGTATGTGCACGTGTATTTGGCGATTATTGCGTACACGCTGCGCTATGCGTTCGAGTTTGATGCGATGAAAGCTGCGAAGCAGCAGGGAAAGGAAACAGGAAAAGGAAATGAAATGGAGGTCGAGGAGAATGAAAATGAACCCATTGAAAAGGAGAATGAAAATGAGAATGAAATTGATTTGACGGACACATCGAAACAAACCACCGAGTTGGTTCATCAATTGCGAACGTTGGCGTTGCGCCGACTCACGGAATGTATTGGGCATTATCCCGCCGTGAACTACACGGTCTATTCTCATTATTTCTTCACACCGCTCTCCTCATTGCTGGAGCTTCTTCCGAACAGCGTGTTCGCATCGAAGAAGCCTCCCACGTTGATTCATTTGGCGTTCATTATCTCTTCCAACGCTTCTCTGTACTATCTGTACGATCTTCAGCCCTTGCTGATCCAGCAAGTGATTGCCTGTCTCGTGACGCAGGTGGATTCGATGGAGATTGAGGAACGCACAGCGAGTGGCATTCAAAGAGGCTCCTCGGCGCATCAAGTGGGCCATTTGTCGAAGCCCGTCGCGCTGGAGATCGTTCGGATTATCGAGAATCTGCTCAAGATCGATCCGGAGCACGATTTGTTCAACGAGGAAAAGAAAGTGAAAAAGAACAATAACAACAAGAACCAGAAAGTCAAACTAGGAAACTGGAAGCGCGAAACCGCCGAGCTGAACAGCATGCAAGTGGACGTTGGTCTCAAGGGAACCTTCCAGCCCGAAGGCGTCGAAGCCAGCCAAGAGCGCGACGGTCTCGAGTTCCTTCTCCCTCAAATCCAGAACGTGATCCACGGATTGGAGTATCTGCTCTCCATGGTTCGTTCTGTCCGCGGAAACTTCTTCAATCGTCCGTTCTCTTCCTACGAGTCTAACGCTTAGGCCTGCTCTCCATCGTGTTCCGCCTCAGCCAGCTCGCCTGTAGCGGCGTCCTGCGGTTAGAAAGCGAGTCCATTACGCGGCTCTATCTTCTCCTTCTCTCGTTTATTAAGTACTCCACGAGTCGCGACGGCTTCGTCGACAGCCGGCTTCGCGTGCTTCGCGTCATCGCGTCGCTGGTTCCCCTCGTCTCCGACTGTTCCGTGGGAATCCCGACGCTCTGCGCGCTGCTGGCTCCCGGAAAGACCTGCGTGTCCGACATCGTGGTTCGCAAAGAAGTTCTCGCCGTGCTGGATGCCATGAAGCAGCGAATCCCCTCCATGAGCCAGGTAGTTTTTCTTTCAAACGCGCATGACTGCAAGGTGACCGCGGTTCTGTTCGACCTCCACGCGACCAGCAGCAGTTCCATCGGTGCGTACAACTTCGCCAAGCGCGGCGATGCCTACGAGCTGCTGATTCGGCAGCGCCTGGCGTCGTTCGGACCGAAGGAGAGCAGTTTCCAGCCGCTGTTAGCGAGCGTTTTGCACGATCTCTGCGACAGCGACATGATGATTCGCACGTCTTCGCTGCGCGCGCTGACCGACTTCGTCCAGGACGCGCACGCGATGATCCGAAACGGCGACGAGGCGATGGAACGCGTGCTGTCGGAGGGCATGATCCCGTCGATCCGGTTCGTGTTCCAGTCGAACTTCGGGGAGACCACGCGGCGATCGGCGATGCAGCTCTTCCGCCAGATCCTGCTGGTCTCGAAGGACTTTGGCTCGCCCGTGTTTGGCTCCGATCTGCTGGCGCTGGTCAACGCGAGCGACGAAGACGCGGACGTTCTGCTGGGCCTGCTGCACTTGCAGACGCGCCGGAAGGTGAAGTCGATGCGGAGCATCTGCCAGCTGGCGCAGCGCATTCGCGAGGGGAAGAGCCCGCGGCTGGCGGCGGTGTCGATCCGAACGGTTCTGCTTCCTCTTCTGTTCGCGTGCATTCGGGAGAACCCGAAGAATGCGGGTGCGTGTTGAGGGAGAGCGATGAGATTGGTAGAGAGCTCGCTGCGCGAGGAATGCGCGTTGACGGTCGGGGCGTTGGCGTCGCTGCTGAGCTGGTCGCATTACATGGATTTGTTCCGACGCGTGTTTGCGATGGTAGTCGATCGGAGGCGCGGCGATGGGCTGTAGATCGAGGAAGGAAAGCGGACGCTGACCGGTGTGGAGGCGCTGACGTCGGAGCAGGAGACGTACAACAAGCTCTACACGCGAATTCTGTGCCTGATCGTCGAGCAGTTCCACTTCGAGCTGCAGGACATGGAGGACTTCGCGGAGGTCGTCGATCTGCGGATGGAACTGGTGGCGCAGGATTCGCTCTCCGCCAAGGCGCTGAAGCAGCTCAATTTCTTGAGGAAGGAGCAGGAGCGAAAGAAGCAGGCGCAGGCCAGCGAGCAGAAATCGAAGGCCACGGAGGATGAAGCGCCCGCTGCGAACGCGAAGCCAACCGACACGAAGAAAGAAAGCAAAGAAGCCAAAGAAGCCAGCGAAACCGAATCTTCTTCCTCCGAAACCGAATCTTCTTCTTCTTCCTCGGAGGAAGAAGAAGAAGAAGAAGAAACGCTTGCAGCGTCGACCTCCGCGTTGCAATCGGCGCAGGAAGAGGAAATCCAAGCGGAGCTCCGCGCGGCGGAGCGCGAAGAGGATACTATGGCAGCCTCTTCGAATTCGACGGAACTGAGCGCGCAGGATCGCCGCCGCATTCTCCGGCTGGTTCTGACGGTGGTGATTCCGGATCTGCGCAAGCTGATGGTGGCCACGGACGAGCAGCGGAACCAAACCGTCCGCTGCGGCGTCGCCGTGGTGATCATCCAGCTGCTGCGCCACCTGCCCAGCAAAGTGATGGAGATGTGAGGGATCGGGGTTGGATCGAGCGTAGCTATCTGCCCGGCGTGATCCAGATCGTCGTTTTACTGCTCAAGCAGCGCATGCAGAGCGCGCGAGACGAGGCGAGACACACCTGTAGGGCAGGTGGATCGGGTTTTGACGTGTAGTGCGCACGATTTTGGAAGTGCTGGGCGTGGATCGCCTGCAGTTGGTGCTTTCGCAGATGCAGTACGCGCTGAAAGAGGGCAATCAGCGGTTCATTCTCGCCTACACGCTCTATGACTGCGTCGCAGCCATCCGGTCCTCCGTGCATCTCACTCCGGAAGACGTCGGTTTCCCCGTTTCCACTCACGACCAGCCATCGACCGTGCAGCCCGCGGAGGGTCTGAACGAATCGAAATACCCGCTGCTGCGCTCGCTGTCCGCGATCCAGGACATCGTTCTCTACGATTACTTCGACGCGGGAGCGCGCGCTCGCGAGGTCGAAGAGCTGCAGAAGGCGAACGCCTCGCTGTTCCGCGAGCTCTCCGTCTCGCACTCCCTGGAGACCTGGGAGATCGTCACGTCGCTGCTTCCCTTCCTGCCCAACCGCGCCAGTTTTTCTCTTCTCTCGCGTGGCTCATCTCTAGTTCATTTCTGGCTGGCGCCGATCGTGTGGCGCGTTCGCTCCTGCGAGGACGCTGCGGAAATGACGCGGCTGCGCAGCGTGCTGAGCGCCACGGCCAAGGGATTGCTGGCCAACGCGTCGGTGCTGCCGGCGACGCTCACAGCGTACTGCATGAGTTTACTGCACGACGCGGAGCGCGCCATCTCGTCGTCGCGCGCCGAGGCGAAGCAGATCGCGGCCACGACGGAGATCTGGACGACGTCGAGCGTGGGGCCGCGCAGCACGAGCGACGGGCGACGCAATCTGATCGTGGAGCGCGAGCAGAAGCTGACGGGGACGAATCTCAACGAGCAGAACCGGAAGAAGGTGAACAAGGCGAGCGAGGAGGAGATGCTGGGCTTCGCGCTGCAGCTGCTGAACGGCGCGGTGGAGAAGAAGCTGCTGGTGGCGACGGACGCGACGCATCGGCGGCTGGCGGAGAGCTTTGTGGACTCGCTGCTGTTCGTGCTGCGAACCTGCCGCAAAGCCAGCGTGGTGCGCGACTGTCTTCGATTTGTCGACACGCTGCTGCAGTGGAAGATCGACTCCATGACGCAGAACGTGGAGCCGCTGCGTCGTAATAGTATTCCGCGCTGCTCACCGCTAGAACTCCTGTTCTCGCTGCTGTCCGACTTCTCGGCGACGTCCTCCGAGCTGGCGCGCGCGCTTTTCCACACGCTCTCGCAGATCTACCACCTCTACCCGTCGCGTTTCCCCGTTTCCCTGATGGGTAGGAAGACGGAGATGACGGTGGACCAGGGCCGCGCGCTGCTGCTGCTGATTCGTCGCGACATCGCGCAGTCGGAGCGGCAGAACGCTGCGTTCGGGATGCTGCGCGTGATTCTGCAGCGGAAACTCGTGTTTGCGGACCTCTACGACTTCATGGACGAGCTCAGCACGCTTCTGCTGCAGACCTTCGACGACTCGCTGCGCAACCACTGCGCGCGCGTGCTGCTCAACTTCCTTCTGAACTACCCGATGGCCGACAAACGCGTCGACGCCATGCTCACTTTCCTCCTCAAAAACATCGAATACGAAGAGCCCTCCGGCCGGTTAGCGCTTCTCCACCTCCTCCTCAACCTCGTCAAGAACTTCCCAGTCGAGGTCGGCATTGCCCAGCCCCTCAACCGTAGTTCCTCAACAGCGTCGCGGACGTCTTCTTCCTCCCGCTTCTCCTCTCCTTCCTCCGCGAGACCAATCTTCTCTGCCGCACCGTCACCCACCAAAGTGCGCGTTCCCCGCGGGAACTCACTCATAGCGCTGAAACTCCTCGCCGAGCGCATCGACGTTTCCACGTTCAAGCGGATCCGCGGGTTCGCGGACGCCTGGCTGCGCTCCGCCGACTTCGCGATGCGCCGTTCCGCGGTTCTGACGCTTCTTTTCCTCACGCAGGGCCGCCGGCAGGTCGTGAAGGGCGATTTACCGCGGTTCTTCGACCTGGCCATCTCCCTGCTCCCGCAGTCCATCGACTCGCTGCGTCCCCGCGGGGCGGGCGCGGCGTGGAGCGTGGGGGACGAGAACTGCAGCGCGGCGGACGTCTATTCGCTCTACCGCGTGACCCTCACCGACGAAACGCCCGCGGCGGATTGGCTGCTGGGCTGCGAGCTGCTGCAGGCCAGTCGAGACTGCTTCCCGGACCCCTTTTCCGCGGTTCTCGCGGAGAAACCGGCGGTTCTGGACGGGCTGTCGCTGCTGCTGCTGTCGGAGCACGGCTTTGCCCGGGTTTGCGCGGCAAAACTGCTTCGCGCGGCGGTGGAAACGCCCTGCGAGGCGTGGCTGGGCGCGGCGGGGAGCGTCTTCTTCTGTCTGCAGCGGCTGTTCGTCGCCTTCGCGATGGGAGGAACCGTGGAAACCTTGGGAGAAGAGGGGAAACTCATGGCCGCTCTGGTGAAGGAGGTCGTGCGCAGAGGAGGGAGTTACCCGCGCCCGGAACGGACCCAGAACCGCGAATTGCTCAAGGTGACCACGCGAAAAGTGGAAACTGGGGAAACCGAGGACATTCGTCAGTTCTACGATTTGGATGGAATGGAAGAGGAGGAAGAAGGGGAAGCTGGGGAAACTGGGGAAACGGAGAACGAAGAGGAGGAAATGGAGAATGAGAGTGAAAATGAAAATGAGGAGGATAACCGCGGAAATCAAAATGAGGAGGATAACCGCGGAAGTGAGAATGAAACGTCCCAATCCGACGACGATTCGGTTTCTCCGAATCCATCGAATTCGGCGTCGAATTCGGCGTCGAAGCCTCGTTTGCTGCTTCGTCGCGTTCCGAATCCGTTCACGCTGCAAGACACGCTGTTCCTGCTGGGCAATCTGCTGAGTGATCGGGTTTTGGCGGTGCGGGACACGGGTCTGGCGATCTTCGAATCGATCCTCCACGACTTGGAGCCGGCCGTTCTCCTTCAATTCATCGTTTTTCTTTTTGTTTTTTGTTTGTCTCACGCGTAGACGCCGCTCCTGCGACCGCTGCTGAAGCTGGTGAATGCGTGCGGAGAGGGAGATAGCGAGCTGGAGAAACGCGTGTCGATGCTGATTCACAACGAAATCGAAGCCAAGCTGGAGCCGGGTGATTACATTCGAGAGTATAGCCGACTCCAGGAGGATGTAGGAGAGTGGTAGGAGATACTAATGGGCAGATTGGAAAGCGGAAGAACGCGCTGAAGATGAAGGGAAAGCAGATGGCCGTGTTGGACCCCAAGCAGAAAATCAGCCAGAAGCGGCAGAAGAAGCAGAAGAACAAGGAGAATAAGCGTCTGAAGCGAATGCTGAAGAAAGGACAGATCTGGAAGAGTTAGTACCGTCTTTTGGTGTGTTTGTGAAACTCCCGACTTTTTTAACTTTACACTTCAATTCCTCTTTGGGAAGGCGTAAACTCTGTGAGCGCGTGATAGTACTCGAATCAGCGTGAATCGATGAGTGGAAAATCCCCTTCGAGAGAGAATCTTGGGAGACATTTCATTTGTGGAATGTGTGGAGGTGAAAACTGCATTTTTTGTATTAGTGTGTAGGTTTCGCAACGACCATTACACTTCATCCCCTTGATTGTGTGAAGACGCGTCTTCAGGTCAACCAGGGTCGCGGCATCAATTTCCTCAGCAATTTCTTTAAAGTGGTGCGCGTAACCTATCAAGAGGGAGGTGTAAGGGCGTTCTATCAAGGACTGAGTCCTGCGGTTCTTGGCTCGGTGACTTCGTGGAGTATTTACTTTGCGTGTTACGAAAACGCGAAGAATCGCTACAAGCGATTGCTGGACACCAATCGTCTCAACGGTTTTTACAATCTAATCTCTTCGCTGGAAGCGGGGATCATCGGTAGCACGGTTACCTGTCCTTTATGGTTCTTAAAGACGCGACTGCAGTTGCAGAATCGGCTTTGTCTCGTAGATGCCTCTAAATGGATGTTTATTCGGCTAGATGCCTGGCTACGTTCCTTATAAGGGAATTACAGACGCAGTGGTGCGTATCATTCGCGAAGAAGGAATCAAGACAATGTACTGCGGTCTTCTTCCTTCTCTGTTCCTCACTTCCCACGCAGCGATTCAATTTGTAATTTACGAAGAGTTGAAATACCTCGAAACCAAATTGAATAAAAATATTGTTTCTACCATTTTACTATAAGAATAATGTACAGGACTACAAAACAGGTCTTTACGGCGGAGCCATTTCGAAGTTTTGTGCATCCATGATGACGTATCCTCTCCAAGTATTCCGTTCTCGAATGCAACAGTTAAATGCAAAATCGTCATATACAAATTTTTTGGATTGTGTCGTGAAAGTTTGGAAGTGATGGCGGGAAAAGTGTGTGATGTGTAGAACGGAAGGATTGGCAGGGTTGTATGGAGGCTTGCTGCCGAATTTGATTCGTGTGGTGCCTTCGTCGTCGATTACGTTGATGACGTATGAGTTTGTGAACTCGGTGATGAATCGTTACCATATCTTGGATTAGTTGGGTTAATGGGTTTTCGTTTTATTTATTATTATTATTATCCAGATGGTGTTTGTTTGTTTGATTGATTGATTAAACCTTTTTTCAACTTATTCCATTTCTTTTTTTAAAGATAAATAATAATCCAAACACCTTGGCGATTTTTGCCCATGCGATATTTTTAGATCACACATACAGCAACTATTCTCACTAAATTTCCTAAAAATTCTAAATGAATTGGGTGCAAGAGGATACAATCAAGAATTGTATGCGCTGTAATACTCCATTTACAGCGTTACGAAGAAAACATCACTGTAGAGTAGCCGAATTTTGATTCCAACTATGCTACTAGTTTTGTGGGAAAGTGTTTTGTGATTCCTGCTCCTCACAGAAGCTACCTCTGAATGGGAAGATGGAACGTATTTGCAAAGATTGTTTTGCTGGCGAAAAGAGTAGATTTGCGGATTTTTATATAATAATGCAAAGAGAGAAGAGATCAATGGGAGCTCGTAACCAATCACGGTTTCTGTAAATGATGGATCGGATCCTGACGAGCTAGGCTCTCCTTGCGGGAAGCAGATCAATTATCCGGATTTTAGCTGTCTAAAGAATGCCGATGGAAGTTGGAGTTGCAAGGAAAGGCCGTACATGGTATTGGATTTAGATCGCAACACGTGGACGATTAAGCCCGAAGAGTAGGATGAACCGAATATCATTTGACTAATTCGCAGAGTAAACAACCCAGTTCTCCAGCAACCCGAAGTATTTATATCACTGCTTCTTCTAAGCATGAATAGAAGGAGCCAAAGCGTCCTCGCCGGACATCCTCCGTTTCATCGCTCTCCAGCAAGCTCCAGCGCGAGCACGTGACCTTCAAAGACATCGTCAGCGGTAACGTCAGCGAAGACGTTTTGCGCGCCAGCTCCGTCACTCCTTCCCAAGAAAAAGTCTACGAACTCGAGCGTCTCGACGGCTCCACCCAAACCGACCCGATCCCCGCGGTTTTCATCCCTCCCGTCCGGTTCTTCTCGCTCCCCGCGGGATCCGTGCAGCTCCTCCGCGACCAGGCCGCCAAGCTGGAATCCCCGCCCTCCCCCGCGGGGGAGGACCCTGCCTCCGTTCCAGAAATCGAGCCGATTTCGGAGCTGCGCATGTCGGAGCGCGCGGAAATCGCGCAGTTGGGAAAGACGGTGGGAACCGCGGTGAAGGAGCTGCGGCAGCGCGTGACGCTGGCGCGCGATCGGCGGGCGTTACGCGCGGAGCAGGAAGCGGACGAAACCGCGGTGAAAGAAGCGCGGGATCTTCGCGTGGGGGGCATTTTGGAGGCAAATCAGGCGGCGGTGGACGAGGCTGAAATCCTATTGGACAATCTGGTGACGCACTTTCAGAGCCTGTCGAGCCGGCATAACCGTACCCGCGGGGAAAGGATGCGAGGTAGAGCTGAAGGCGACGTGCGCGGCGGTGGAGAACAGTGTTCCGGACGTGGGGAAGGTGAAAGCGTCGCAGGAGCAGTTCGAGACGTTATCGCAGTTTTTGATTATGGGTTGTGCTGAGGGGTCTAGCGACACGCTCATGGAGATCGCCGCGCAGCAGCTCGTCCATCTCCAGCATTACCGCTCGCTCTCCTCCGCCTACAAGGAGCTGGTACTCCGTTTCCACTTTTCCGAATGCCTCTCTAGTTCGAGCAGGAGAAGGAGTTTGCCGCGGGGAGCATGAGCGTCGTGGTGGAGCAGCAGGAGGCCGTGAACCGCTGCCTGAACGCCTGCACGTCCGCCGTGCGTTCGCTCGCCAAAGAAGTCGAGCAGCTCAAAGCGCTCGCCGACGACCTCCAGCAGCGCGTTTCCACGGTTTCTACTTTTCATGTAGGTGCACGTGACCGAGGAGGAGGCCGATAAAACCGTGGAACACTTCGCCGACGCCATCCAGGCCGCCGAACGCCTCGCTTTTCTCGACGAGCAGCAGCTTTACGACCTCGAGCGGCAGTTTCACGCGCAGCAATCGCGGTTATCCGAGGCCCAGACCGCCCTCGCCGAGCGGGAATCGCGGTTATCCGACGCACAGCGGCACATTCGGGAGATAACCGCGGTTCTGCAGGCCGAAAAGGAGGAGGCGGAGCGGGAGCGGGAAACGCCGCAGTGGAAGGTGCTGCCGATTCCCGCGGGGGAGATGGAAGGGGAAACGGAGAACGCGGAGCGGGAAATCCACGGAATTCTATCGAACTGGGGGGCGAAGAAACCGCGGGGAATGGTAGAAACCGTGGAAGACTGGATCGCGGAGCTGGTGAGCGGGAAGACTGTGTTCCTGGACGGTGGGAACACAATTGAATTGACGATGTTCGATCAGAATCAGCGCGATCAATTCGTGGAAACGGTGTTACCGCTGATTTTGGCGCGGAAAAATTTGGAGTGTTTCGTGCAGGAACACAAACGACGCGAAGTGGATTTCCGAATAACCGTGGTTAACAAAGAGGAGACGATCCCCGCGATTGTGGTGCCGGATGAGAGTGCTGCGGGAATGGGTGAGAATGGTGTAGAAGGGATGGAAGCGAAGCATTTCGAAGGAGATAAGGATCATCATCATGATGATGATGATCATCATCTTCATGATGGTGATAATAACAATAAGGATATGATGAAGCAAGGAGAGGAAAAGGAAAAGGAAAAGGAAAAGGAGAAGGAAAAGGAGGGAGAAGAACATCCAGAAGTGGTGTTTGTGCAGGAAATGGTGGAAGAAGAAAGCGAAGAACTGCGCATTTCAGAAATGGACGCGATTAGTCGAGATGTGATTCAATCGATTCCAGAAGTGAAGGAGAAACGAAGAAAAGCCAAAATGATCAATTTGGACTTTGATGTTTGTTCACACCTCATTATTACCTTTTGCTTTGGTAATTGTGTCGTGATATGATTCTTCCTTCTTTGCTATTTATTGTTGTGGCGTTCCTTTCTGTGATTACGAAGGATTTCCTTGTACAGCATGTAGGCTCCCATTTCCATAGTTTTGTGTAGAGCGATTATATAAAACCTGTTGAATTTGAAGATACCAACTTTGCTGATGGAACGTGGGACCATGAGAACATTATCGTTAAGCAAAGTGCTATTGACAATTTGATTAATGTGGTGAAGGTATCCCACTCTTAACTAAGCTAACCTTGATAGTATACTACGGGTTTATCGTCTCCTGAAGAAGAGCACCCTCAAACGACTGCTTATCACCCAAAAAGTGTTGTCCATAAAGTACCATCTGTTCAAAAAACTATAGAAACTGTAAATCAACAACAACAACAACAACCTTTAGAACCTGTAATGAATCCTAATAATGTACTTTCGGATGCATCCAAATCCTCATTTTTCAAATCGCAGCAAGCGATCCCTTCTATTATGGATGCTAATGCTGAGGCATCGACTACGCAGCAATCGCAAAACCCGATCAAAATGCCACGTTTCAAACCGTCCATCGAACTGGTAAATCCCGCGGGGAGAGAGGACGTTTTCGATACCGTCGAGGATTTGGAGGAAGGCGAAGAAGCGGAGAAACTGGGGAAACTGGGGAAACCTGAAGTGAGTGAAGAGAAATCCGAGAAATCCGAGAATGAAGAGGGAGAAACTGGAGAAATTGGGGGATCGGAGAAACCGGAGAAACCGGAGAAACCGGAGAAATCGGAGAATGAAGAAGTGGAAACCGAAGAAACCCAGGTAACCGAGGAACCGAAAGGATCGGAGAAACCGGAGAAACCGGAGAAACCGGAGAAACCGGAGAACTCCGAATCCAACGAAAAGAATGAAAACGAGGATGGAGAAACCGAGGAAACCGAGGAAACCGCGGTTCCCCAGGCATCCAACGAAACCCTCGTGTTGACGGAAATCCCCGCGAATTCCACGACCTTCCTTTCGAATTCGATGGAATCCGTTTCATCATCCTCATTGTCATTATTTGAATCCGTGAATCACACGACCGTTTCGCCGAGGGCGCATGCCTCAAATCCGCCGAAGGGTCGTTCATCCAAACGAATATCATCCAAACACGGCCGCAAAGGCCGAAACGCCCGAAGAGCGAAACTCTCATCATCCATTTCGAATTCCACGGTTTCCACAGTTTCCACGAATTCAACGGAGATGCGGGAAACCGTGGAAACCGTGGATCCGAAGGAGCCGGTGAATCTTTCGGAAGTTTCCTCGCTGGGTTTCAACTTTTCTAAATTTTACCGCGATTTTTCAACGCTGCCGATCCACATCGAAACGCCCGTCTCCGAGTGGGTTACCGGCTCGTCGATTTTCCAGAATTACGTCAACGACGTGTTTCTCCCGCGGCAAATGGAGACGGTGGCACGTGCCTCCAATCCAATCATTTACGTCGCTCGCAACGACGCCAAATTGGAGCAGCAAATGATCGGCATCTGCGACGTGTTTCTCCTTTCCCTCCTCTACAACCGTCCTTTCAAATGTTGCCGATTTCCCCGCGGGAATGACTTGTAGTCCACGCTCCCGCGGTTCTGCCCCATCTTTTTTCTTTCCCGTTTTTCAACGCTACCTACCCCATTCCGCTCCGCAGCAACGCAGGTTCCCCTTTTCCACGGTTTCCACTTTAGAGTACGACCGACTCGCTGCCCGCGGGGATTCCATCAAATCCGCGGTGGATCATTTCATCTCGCATCTCGACAATTCCCGCGGAATCACCCGGGAGGGAAACTTCTCCGCGGCTTTTCCCGGTTCCGCGGCGATTCTGCCGCGCCATTCGCTTGCCGCGGGGATTCTTCGTCTGCGTTACTCGAAGAAACTCCTGCACCGAATCGACGCGTCGATTCCCGCGGAACCGAGCATGACGAGTTCGCAGTGGCACGCGCTTTGTGTTCCGAGTGTGTTCCAGGCGAGTTCGTACACGTCGGAATATGTGAGGAGATTGGAGGGGAGTTTCGCGGGGCACCGCGTGCTGGGTCTGGCGCTGCGGCTGGGCGCGAAGGCGGCGGAGTGGACGGACGACGGAATGTTCTCGGCGGCGTGGCGCGCGACGCGGAGACACTTCCGCGCGCTGCACGAGCAGATCGTGGCGCAGAGAGCGGACCGCGTGTTCGTGGCGACGGACTCGGAGCTGGCGGAGAAGATTCTGGGGAAACGACTGGGGAAACGGATGATTGTGGTGACGCAGCTGCGGAGTTCCCGCGGGGAGCATTCGGAGGAGGCGGTGCTGAGGAGAGTGGTGGAGCTGGAGATGCTGGGGAGATGCGTGGCGCTGCTGGTGACGCCGCATGACGAGTTTGGAAGAGTGGCGATCGCGATGAGCGGAGGCAAGGTGCCGGTGAGTTTGCTGGCTGTGTGAGGCGTTTGATGGGCGGAGGTGTTTGTTTGAATAAAGAGAAGCGCGGAGAGCGGATTGGAAGGAGGATGTGGGTAGAAGGATCGGAAATGGTGAGTTTGGAGGGATGAAGGTGACAAGCTTTGGAATCACATTCACGTATTCATTTGCTGAGTCAATTCATTTCATTCATACGTTCATTCAATTCATTCATTCAATTCATTCAATTCATTCAATTCATTCATTCAATTCATTCAATTCATTCATTCAATTCATTCAATTCATTCAATTCATTCAATTCATTCAATTCATTCATTTCACTGTCTTTCACTCCTCCCACTCCAATTCTATTTCCCTATCCTTTCTTTCCTTCAATATCACTTCCAGTTTCAAACAAACAACAATCCAATCGATCCACACTCCCTTCCTTTCCTATTCCTGCAGCACGTTCATACTACAATTCACTCCCCATCTCGCCATTCCCCACAAATGATCGCGTTCCTCGTCCGAAAACGGCGTGTGAATCTTCTCCAGCAGCTTTCCCTGCGTCTCTGTCTCGCGTTCCACGACTTGCTCCATCGTCCATCCATAGAAGCCGTCGCAATGCGTCACCAATTGACGAATCAGCTGGAACGTTCCTTTGTACTGCGCGCTGAGCACCATGCGCTCCACCAGCGTTTTCAGACCGAAATAATTGACGTTGATGTCGAATAGACGGTACAAACTGCTCACCGGCTGACAAGTCTGGTACCAGTCCGGCTTGTCGAAGTCGGGCAGCTGGAAATGCTCAGATTTCGTGGTCCAAATCATTTCGTCGCTTTTCGCCTTCACTTGACGATCACCAATATTGACGAATCGGGTAGGAACTGCTTTTCTCTCCTTCTCATCTAAATGATAGTAATTTGGATTGCACCCCTAATAAGTCACAAACTCATCCCGAAACTAAAAAACATACATTATCAGGTGCAACCGCAAAGCGAATAAAGATAGAAAACTTCTTCTTGTCCAGAACGTTGTTCACCCACACAGAAAAACGCTCGTAGCCAAACAACCACGATTCTTCTGTAAATGTCAGAAGATCTACAGGGATTATATAACAATAAGCGATCCAAACCTTTCGACAAGAAAAAGGTTACGGCTCGTGGTAGATGGTTGTAAATCCGATATCTAACCATTATTTTCGCTGCATAATTATCCCAACATCTTCCTCGTGTACATTCCTTTCTCATGGGGAATTTCGACCCCAGTAATAGTCGAAATGCCCATGTGGCCATCTCGATTATCGAACCTTCCATAAAACAAACAGCACCACTCCTACTCTTCATTCACGTCCCACTGCACTCCTTCGCCGTCACCCGTAAAATTCTGCAACGCTTGGCAAGCCCACCACCGCAAGCCAATATTTGCAGTATCCACATCAAACGGCATCGGACAAATGTACTCTTCTTTCATGAGGAAAAATCTTTAAAAACCGAAAATAGGCCGAATAAGCGGAAAAGAAAAACCGTTTGTTTCTACTTTCTTTCTTATTTTCTTACGTTCTTTCCTGTGTTCCGTAATTCACTCACTCACTTACTCAACCAATCACTCATTTATTCATTTCTGCAATCACTCACTCCTGTATTCAACAAACAACTAACAATTCACACAGAACTAATCAAGATCGCACTTAAACGCATTCTTTACAACTCTCTCAGAACATTCGTCTCTTCACATTCGCATTGGTGCACATTCTCTACCGAGAAGCACTCCTACATCTCCGCATCGCTCATCCCGCGGCCCACAAACCGCTTATCGCACCGCACGCCTCCCGTCCTGAAAAACCAGTTCCTCCCTTCCTTCTCCAGCGTGCGGCGCAGCCGCAGCATAGATCGTGGAAACGTGGAAACATCGCGACCCACGGCGCACCAGGCGTGATCGACGAGGTGGGCGCGGATGAGCGCGCCGGTCACGTCGTAGGCGAAGAGGAAGCGGAAGCGGAAGCGGAGGCGGAGGCGGAGGGGCTGGGTGACGGAGACCACGGTGGCGTTCTGCGCCCAGTTGGACAGGAAGAGATCCAGAGAGCCCGGTCGACTCTGCACACCTTCGTAGGGAGCCACGGACCCCACCCCATCGCCCACCAGATTCCTGCTCACTCACACCCACACCCACACCCACACCCAGAGCGAACCGGTGAGCGAGGAGGTTGGCTCGCCGTCCACCACCAACACCCAACGAATTCCGACGTGGCCATCGTGGACACTCCGAATTGCCTGCCCATCCACTCGGCACTGCCCACTTCGCTCGGGACGCACTCCAGCGTGTAGGAAGTCGCGGGGATCCCACCCTCCAACACGTCCCACACATCGCGTCCCGCGGGGAACCAGACGGTTCGGCGGAAGGAGGAAGGAGGAAGGAGGAAGTCGCGGGAGCGCGAAGCTCGCACGTGGCGGTGCAGAGATCATGGAAGGATCCGGTAATCGCCATCGCACAGTCCCACTCAATGCCCTCCGCCTGATTCCACACACACCGCATACAGAACCGCGGGGCACACCACCGCCACGCACCTCACCTCTCTTCCATTCCACCACTTCCCACACGCCCGCACCACGCACACCTCCACCTTCCCATGCTCCACAGACCCACAAATGCACAACTGCACCGTCTTGGAACTCGCCTGCTCCCACTGGCCATTCCAGTTCACTCGGCTCGCATCAATCAGAGGCGAGGACCGTCCCCACAGCAGTTCGCATACTCCGCCTTCTTGTCCCATTCTCCCAAGTTCCACACACGCTCCGCTTCTACCAACCTACAGCTCTTGCTCCCATTGTTTGCCCTTTCACTCATCGCAAATCCGTTCTCTCTACCACCTCACGATATGAAAATGAAAATACGAGAAACAGAACAGCTATCCTAGGCAAGAACGTCGTGCCTGTTCCAGATACCTCCCACGTTGCAAGTTATCTCCATGTATCCGCGGTCACACATGGCATGAATGGGTTCGCCACGTTGCACAGTTTGAAGTACAGAAATTCCTCACTCGGAACACACTCCACACAGCAAAAATGGAACCAGGGTCCACCGCCATTATGGTATTGAATGCGTTCACGATGCATATCTCACACACACAGTTTAGTCAAAGTAACGATAGCGCACACTACACTAGCTTCTTCAAACACACCAACTTGACGACAGAACCCATCCCAGCTACAATACTTACACTCCCACAACACAACACACAAAAACACATAGAAGTCCGAAAACAAAACAAAACAAAAGACAGGACATACAAGTCCAATTCCAAATTTTGAATACATTCAAACCCAGTAAGACGAATCTAATAGCTTTTATTGTAAAACAAATGATTTCAAAAATACACAGGAATTGTGCAATTGTGAAAATAGTGTTGAAATTGGGTATGAGTGGAAGAATAGATTTCGAATAGGGAGGGAGTTGTTTTTACTGTGAAGTGGAAGGAGATGAGCGGAAATGGGATATTGTGGAATGAATAGATCGAAGAGTGTTGTTTCCAGTGGAAGCGTTTTGTTTTTCGTTCTATTCATTTGGAATTTTATATAGATGGGATTGAAAGAAATAGGGTATGTAGAAGATGATGATAGGAATGAAAATGGAAAAGCTAGCGATAATCAGTTTTTGGGTTATCATTTATAGTAATAATATGTGATATGTGTATAGTAGAATCGAATAGTAGAGTTTGTGAGAAAGGTGGGTGTGTCGTTGAAGAACTGAGCAAAATAAGGTAGAATACATAATATATTTTATACGAACAAATAGAGATATATTCATATTCCACTGTTTCTAGGTTTTTGGATAGTTGGTGTCCAGTTTTTGTCGTTTTGATGCACTCTGAACCTATCAGAGTTTGTTATATTGCCAGAGAATACTATCCCTTATTCTAACCCATATAGTATCCCCCACCTGCCAAATAATGCAGAATATCTCCTATTTAAAGGAAGAAGTATCGAATTGTACACTTCAATAGGGATACAAAGTGATTCACAATGTTGTTCTATTACGAGCATGAATAAGAATAGTATACATAATACTTGCTGTTTGAGTTGGTTGATGAAAGTGAAATGCTTTGGTTCCCAACTCATTAGGATGAATAGAATTACTCACTAATAGTGATATCAGTATTGTTGATGATAAAGCTAAAATCCATAAGAATGGACTCTATGGGAATGAGTAGTTGTCCAATATCAAGCTGTGAGACATATCTGACTGATTTGTTGGAGGCAACAATCAAACTATTACTTTTCAGATAAATATATGTATATATATAGAAGATAGACATTGATATCTATCTATCTATCTATCTTCTTGAATACCTTACTGAAGTTGTGCTTACAAGATATCGTGAATGAGATGTACACATTCGAATTCAAGGAGATCGGACGGTCATTCGCGTCTGTCAGTACCCAATCAATGGAATCCAGGTTCGATTGTTCAATCACATCGATCGATAGGTTATCCCAGGTGATCATGTTGTTCAGTCCCATCGATACATGAATCAGGTTATCGATCAGCGGACTCTTCAGACCGAATGTTTGAGCATTGATACTACTGTACACTCGGATCACACTCATGCCATTCGTGATGTCGTAGGGTTCACTGGCGACGGTAGTAGTAGGTGTCAGGAAGCCTTCCAGTTTCAGGATGTTCGCAATGTCGGATGCACCATTCAGGTCAACCGATTGAACATTCTCGGAGACCATGTATGCCTGATTGTTATCATTAATGGCAGTCGAGCCAGCGATGGCATTGCATAGCTCGTCGATCGTGTAGTAGCCAGCACCCACATTATAGGTCATTTCATATCCTTGGTTATTCATCACTTTCACCACATTCATAGTATGGATGTTCCAGAGAGAAGTGGTATCGATTTTGGAAGTGATGGAAGTGATCTTGTACACATTGTCACGAGGCATTATCACGGTATTGAATGTCTCGTGGTATCCAGCATTGTTCTTGGGTATGATGGTGTTGTGATTGATTACATCCACGGGATAGCTACAACTATGACTTCGATTCATTTACAACACTGAAATGAATGCAAACCGTTATTGGCCATTTCACTTTGATGTACAGACCATTCTTGTCTATGAGTTAGAATCGCCATTTGCGACTCTTGAACACCACAACATTCAAATAGGCATTCTCCGTCTACTGATCGTTCAACACAGCCAACGGAGACTGTTTGTGTTCTTGCATGTTGTTGATTCGGTTAAGGACAAGGCAGGTACCAGACAATTTTCCCTTCATTGATATCCGATCGATCAACAAATCGCTTTTGATGAGATTGTTATTCGTAAACTCGTGTTCGAATGTCTTATCGATGTTGAATACTAGATTCATTTATTGACTATGACGGTGAATCCGATCAACAGGTAGATGTTCCCGATGAACGAGAGTAACACGTTGTTTTCGTCTTTCAACTCGTGTTCGATTCGGTCCAGCAACTCGGAACATGGAATCAACATGCGATTCTTGTAGAAGTAATTCTTGTACAAACTGTCCATCGGGACATTCGCAAGCAGAGGTATCGTCTTGCTTTTCACGATGTTGCAATACAGCTGTATGTTCGATAGACCATTCGTGATATCGACAGGATACTCGGCAACCATCGGACCATTGTTGATATAGATGCTCCATCGTCGTAAGGGATGCGCCAAGTGTGCGATAATGAACCAGAGATAGGTATTATCATGCCAAGGTTGTCATTCAACGAGAACACGTGGTCAGCGTGAATGTAATAGCCATCTGCTTTGGGTATCCACTTCACGAACACATTAGAATCCTCGAAGCACTGGTTCATGTACCACACCAAATCGTCTTGGGTCAAACGCGATGAAATGTTCCATGTGTATGTGTCGACCGTAGGTTCCGTGTAGGTTATGGATGTCTCTTCTCCTTTATCAAATAGCACCATCACGTGGTATGGGAAGTGGGTCGTGTAGGATTCACCATTTACCACTTAATGGATGAAGTCATCGGAGTTGAATGATTGTGAGAGGGCGTAAACGATCCGAGTGGGTTGTATGAAGGATATGATCATCTCGCAATTCCAGTACGTGTGTCCATTGATCATATTCGCCGCCTTCAGTCCATCGATGTTCGTCATCGCAAACTCGTAAGGTGATGTCAACTCGGGCATCTTGATATACCATTTGCGATGAGATGTGAATTCGAGTCTACGAGTTATACCTGGACTCACTGGAATGAAGGGGTTGTTATTGGATATCACTACCATCGAAGGATGTTTATTACTTCGAGGTGCTATGGTTATTATGCCTCCATTTTCCACTCGATCAAAGATTCGATATCCATCTATTGCATTGAAACCTTTAGCAATCATCTATGCTATTGCTAAAGCAGTGTATACACGTCGTGGTATTGTCACATCCACTGTCTTGTCGTAACCCTCGAGTCCAACAACAAGATGTGTGGTATCTACGAATACCCTGCTGTGATGTACACAATCCTTGGAATACCAGGGACCGATCGAGAAGCATTTATTACCAACTCTGGTGTATTACCTGATGTGATACTCAATTCCAGTTCTGGTGCGTAATCCTTCGCAGTCCATGACATGGTATCTCCATTGTTTTTCACTGTCCACGCAATTGCTTCTTGGTGGGATGGTGGGATGTCACGGATCTCAGCATATCGAGCACTGAGTTCATTGAAACACGAGGTCGTCAAGGAGTTCATGGTGAGCGATGTAGTCGTGTCCTTAGTGATGTAGAAGGTACCGGAATCAAGCAATGAACAATTGCTATTCGTCATCGTGTACGTCACGAGAGGTTTGATCACGAATCGATAATACGAGGTACGCAATTGCCAGTCATACACGACATGTGATGGATCGAGGTATGCATGACCTCCAAAACCTTGATTATTCGTCACATCGGGTAGAGACGGTCCGTTGGAATCAAACACAGTCTCCACGGGACGATCGATGCACAAGTTGCGAGTCGATGGAAACAGTTTGAACCATGGAGTCCTACCAAAACCATCGATTATCGTGTCAATACTGGTTCGATCGAAAAACCATCCGTTTGCTTGGACATTGAAGAGTACATGGTTATCATTGATCGTCATCGATATGAGGGAAAGCACTATCACCATCTCGTTGCCCACTGCCTCGATGAACTCGGAGAACGTGTAGTATCCAGTAGGCATCGATAGCACGTGCAAGACAGTACCATCAGTAACAACCACCTGGCTACACGAGGAACACAGGTAGTATCGACGCAGGTTGTCCACTCCTTTCACTAGCGTATCCGATTCGAATCCGAGAATCGATTTGATCTCTGGTGCATTCGTGAAATCGATCGTGTAGAAAT